AGAATGCCTTTATTTTATTTGTATTTTTATATGGTGCTGAGAATCGAACCCAGTGGCTCGAGCATTCTAGGCAAGCGCTCTGCCATTGAGCAACAGCCCTAGCACTCTATAAACTCTTTTGAAACAAATATCAAATGTAAGAATCAAATACAAAGATGATACAGTTAAGAGCTTTGCTTATGTACTCAAATTTTTAAAAAAATATTTTTTATTTGTTCTAATTAGTTGAGATCAAAATTAAATTGTGTTTAATCATTAAAAAATTGAGACAAAATGAGGTTCATAGTAGAAGATGTTGGAAGCAGATATCTCACTACTGAGAAAAGTGTGGTACCACAAGTCCACATAGGACTTACATGTCATTCTTATTCTTTTAATTTACCTCTCTCTAGACAATACACATTGCTGCAAATTTCTGTTATAATCATGGTTCCCAAAGTCATCCTCTCTAGATTCTTCATATCGAAATTCAGTTATCGGCAGTATTTTTAGTCACCTTTATACTTTCTAACATAATTATAATTATTTTATACTATTACATAGTTTCTGACTTTTTTTTCTTTTTTCTTCTTCCTTTTTTAATATTTATTTTTTTAGGTGTAGATGAACACAACACCATGTGGTGCTGAGGATCGAACCTGGATCCCACTTGTGGTAGGTGAGCACTCTACCGCTAAGCCACAATCCCAGCCCCTTCTTCTTCTTCTTCTTTTTTTTTGGTACCAGTGATTGAATCCAGGGGGCTTAACCATTGAACCACACCACATTCCCATCCCTTTTTAATATTTTATTTAGAGCAAGGTTTTGCTGACTTGCTTAGGGCCTTGCTAATTGCTGAAGTTGGCCTTGGACTCAAGATCCTCTTTCCTTACCCTCCTGAATTGCTGGAATTATAGCATTCACCACTGCTGCCGGCTTCTACCTGACATTTAAAAAAATTCATTTCTCTGTTGCTCTGACTTGCCATCTGAATTTTTTTATTGACTATGTTTTTTTTTTTTCCTTCCTGTTTTGATGTTGTGTTCTCCAGGTTGACCTTGTACTCCTGGGCTCAAACAATCCTCCTGCCTCAGCCTCCCCAGTACTTTGGTCAACTGGTGTGTGCCATCATGCCTGCCTTTTAAGTTTAAATGTAAAAACTTTTGTGAAGCTTTTTTTTTTTTTTCTTTTGTAGACCACTAATTCATATCTTAGATTGAGAGAAATCTGCTTGATAATTATTCGCATTGCTCCCTTCAGTAAACATTTTCATATTCTATTTTTTTGCTTTAGTAGTGTCAGTGTATAAATATTAAATTTTGACATAGCAACTCAAGTTAACACATATTTTTTAAAATATATTTTTAGTTGTAGATGGATACAATACCTTTATTTATTTATTTATTTTTATGTGGTGCTGAGGACTGAATGCAGTGCCTCACACATACTTGGTGAGCACTCCACAACTGAGCCCCAGCTCTAGCCAAGTTAACACATATTATTCAACTATGATGCAGCAGGCCCCACATGAAGTACAAGGATTTCTAAGACATGGTCCCTGCCCTGAACAAACTTGCAGTCTAGTTTCCAACTTTTCACTGTCAGTACTTGGAAAATGTAGATTAGTACTTCTCAGTTGCTTCCTAAAATTTGGAAATGTTTATAAAGTGCCTACTACTTGTGGGGAAGTATATGGATGTATAGTATGAAATGCACAAAACTCTTCTCTCAAGTTTTCTCAACCACTTTTAAGTGGTACTTGAAAGAAAAGCGAGGAACCGGGAGATGGGCAAGTGAGAACTGAAAGGCGGAGACCAGACAGAGATACACGTGAGAGTTTGTCCGAGCTGACAAATAAAGGCACATCTCTCCTTAGATGGAGAGAAAACAATACAGGTTTGAGTTCTGAGACTTTTATGGGGCAGGCTCAGGGATTAGAGCCCTGTGGGTCCTAATGTGGGCGGTTAAGGGTGGAGTTGGTATGAGGGAGTGGTGAGCCTTTCTTAGAAAGGCCTTGGGCGAGAAAGCAAAATTTTTCTTAAAATGGTGGCTGTCACTTAAGATGGCTGTCCAGATGCTAAGCAAGGACCTTACAGTACTAGTTTTTATTTCTCACTCCAGAAAAAGCATTTATTCTTTATTAGAGTTAATATATGTACTAGTTAATTTATCCTACACGTGTGCATCCACATCTTTGCACCAATCTTTTTTTTCTAAACATTATTTTTTAGTTGTAGATGGACACAATCTCTCTCTTTTTTTTTAGAATTTTTAATATTTATTTTTTAGTTTTCGGCGGACACAACATCTTTGTTTGTATGTGGTGCTGAGGATCGAACCCGGGCCGCATGCGTGCCAGGCGAGTGTGCTACCGCTTGAGCCACATCCCCAGCCCTGGACACAATATCTCGTTTTATTTATTTATATATTTTTTGTGTGGTGCTGAAGATTGAACCCAGTGCCTCACGCATGCGAGATAAGCGCTCAACCACTGAGCTACAACCCCAGCCCTGCACCAATCTTATTTGTAAAATCCTCACAGAGCCATCACCAATCACAATAGTAATTATTGTAAGGTCAGGCATGGTGGTTCTTTGGCGGCCAGGGGTTACTTGGTGCTTTGTTCCTCAGCCACCTCCACCTAATAATTATCAAGTATATAGTGTAAAACTTTAAAAAAATCTACCCACAAGTCTAATTCCTAAAGAAATTCTATTTACTTCAGATCTTTATCCATGTAGTATTTAGCAAAATTAAGTTATAGTGTACTTTTAGAAATACTTAAGCTGGGCAGTGGTGTATGCCTGTAATCCCAGTGGCTCAGGAGGTTGAGGCAGGAGGAAAGAGAGTTCAAAGTCAGCCTCAGCAATTTAAGCCAGGCCCTAAGTAACTCAGTGAGACCCTCTCTCTAAATAAAATACAAAAAGAGGGCTGGGAATGTAGTTCGGTGGTTGAGTGCCCCTGAGTACAATCCCTGGTAAACACCCCCCCCCTCCAAAAACAAAAACAAAAACAAAAAAACCCACCAAACTTAAGTACTTCTCTATAAGTATTCATCATTTTTACTTTTTTTCCCCCTCTGTACTGGGGATTGAACAGGGGTGTTTTACCACTGAACTATATTCCCTGCCCTTTATTTATTCTTTTACTTTCAGGGAGGATCCTGTTAAGTTGCTCAGGCTGGACTCTAACTTGCAATCCACCTGCTTTCTGAGGAGCTAGGATTTCAGGGAAGCACCACCACACCCAGCTCCTTTTTACTTTGAATGGTTTATATTCCATCACATTAATATGCCACAATTCATATCTAAATAGTCAAAGTTTTATATGAAAAAGTGCAAATGCAAATGGGAAGTTACTATTACTTTATATTTACCTTAAATGAAATTTAGTGGATTTAAAACAATCCTATTGGGGCTGGGGATGTGGCTCAAGCGGTAGCGCGCTTGGCTGGCATGCATGCGGCCCGGGTTGGATCCTCAGCACCACGTACAAATAAAGATGTTGTGTCTGCAGAAAACTAAAAAATAAATATTAAAATTCTCTAAAAAAAAAAATTAAGATTTAAAAAAAATAAATAAAACAATCCTATTTACTGGATTCTTGTTTACTATATAAAAATTGTGTGTAGGAGGCTGATTGTCATTTGTTTTTTATTTTTTTTAAATGTGGTACTGGGGACTGAACCCATGAGGCTACATCCCTAGCCTCTTAAAAAAAAAAAAATTAAATTTTGAGACAGAGTCTTGTTAAATTGCTCAGACAGGGTCTTGTTAAATGGAAGTTGTGATTCCCCTGAGAGAAGGGGAATTACTGGCCTGCACCACCATGCCCAGTTACCTTTTGCAAATTTTTTTTTTTTTTGGTACTGAGGATTGAACCCGGGTGCTCAACCACTGAGTCACATCCCCAGCCCTGTTTTATAGGTTATTTAGGGACAGGCTCTCACTGAGTTGCTAAGTGCCTTGCTAAGTTGCTGAGGCTGGCTTTGAACTTGAGATCTTCCTGCGTCAGCCTCCAGAGCCACTGGAATTGCAGGCATGCGCCACTGCACCCAGCTAGCTTTTACAATTAAAAAAACCAAAAAAACCCCCCCCCCCCCAACAAAACAAAACAAAACACCCCTCAAACAATGGTATCAACAGTACTGTGGCTTGGAAAACTATTTTCTTTTTCTTTTTAAATCTTGGTACCAGTAATTGAACCCAGTGGTGCTTAACGAGTGAGCTACATCCCCTGCCCTTTTTATATTTTATTTAGACAGGGTCTAGCTGAGTTGCTTTTAGGACCTCACAAAGTTGCTGAGGCTGGCTTTGAACTCGCGATCCTCGTGACTCATCCTCCTGAGCCGCTGCTGGGATTCCTGTCGTGCATCACCTTGCCGAGCAGGCGTCGTGCTAATCTCGATACAAATATAAGATAACATTAACAACTCATCTCCACAATTTATGGGCTTTCATGAAAACTGGCTTCGAAATGCCTAAACATTGCTTCTTCTCCTGCCTTTGGTTTTTAAAGTAAACCACTGACAATATGTGGTGGATCATTCAGCATGTGTCTGTTTCTTTCTTTCTTTTTTTTTTTTTTCGGTACCGGGAATTGAATCCAGAGGTGCTTTACCACTGAGCTACATTCCAGTCCTTTTTATTTAGAGACTGGGTCTGGCTAAGTTGCCGAGGCCGGCCCAGACCTTGAGATGGCCCAGACCTTGCGATCCTTCTACTTCAGCCAGCCGAGCCCCGCGGGTAACGGGCGTGCGCCACGGTGCCCACCGGGGCCTGTGATCTTATAGGAAGAAGCAGAGTAAGTGATTTCGGTTCCTCCAGGACAGACGATTTCAGGCAGAACCAAAGACCCCTGGGGAACTGGGCAAGTCACTTGGTCGCCTTGCGTTCGCAGGTTGACTCACTCTCGCAGTCCCAGAGGACAGATCGCGGCCCGCACCTCTGCAGACAACACCCTCAGAGCCGGCGGGTCCCAGTGCCTCCCAGTCCAAGCCCGCCGGGAAGCTCTGCGCAGGCGCAGTCGTGCGACATTCGTCACTTACGGCCGGAGCGGTTCGTGCTGGGAGTTGGTGGCGCCGTGCAGACCTTTTAGGAACCAACAGCTTGGGCGCGGGTAATTAGCTCTCTTTCGTTCCTTGCCCACTTTTTCCAAGTACCTGGGACTGCCTCGGATCTTCTTGATCTGATGCGGGCGTCCAGTCGTGGACTGTCCCATCCTGCTCCTCTTCTGCTGCGGGCGTTCGCGCGCCCAGGTGGGGGTGAGGGGCGGGGTCGCGGACTGGGCTGGACTCCATCCTGGCGTCTTCGTGTTAAAGTTTCCCGGGTAACTGGTGCTCTTCTCGTTTTCCTAGGCTGATATCCCGGGACTGTGGTTTGCAGGGTCCACCATGGAGCCAGAGCAGATGCTGGAAGGACAGACGCAGGTACCTGAGGCGCTGGATTCGGGTATGCCAGGGAGGCAGCGGGAAACGCCGGCTGATGTCTCTGTGACCTGTGTTTTGTTTTCTAGGTTGCAGAAAACCCTCACTCTGAGTACGGTCTGACCGACAACGTTGAGGTAATTCTCCCAGTTCCTTGTCGCATCTTTGCGTCTCCTGCGAGCTGGTGAAAACTTGGGATCCGTTTTTACTAGGTTACTTTGCACAAGTGAAAACTTTGCTATCTTCAACTCAATAGTATCAAATTACAGGTAGTTTGTTTTTAACAGTGGTGCTCATACTTTTCTTAAATATAGAAGGTACCCCGTTAATGGAGTATAAATACTGGAACCACTGAACCAGAGCTGGGTGGCATTGGTTAAGAAAATACAATTTTGTTGGGTGTGGTGGCACCCGTCTGAGATTCTAGCGATTCAGTAGGTTTAGAAAGGAGGAATCAGGCCAGCCTCAGCAATTAAGGGAGACCCTCAGCAGCTTAACGCAACTCTGTCTCCAAATAAAAAGGAAGGGCATAACTATGATATTCTAATATTATGTCCCAAACCACCAGACCTTGGGAAAATGAGAGAAAAAAAAAAAAAGTCGAGTGTTTGGTATTTTATTTAGTGGTTAGTTTTTCTGCTGCTTTAATTTTAAAGTGCCCTTTCGTTTACGAATTAAAGGGGATAGTAAAATAGTAATTATGTTTTTGTAAGTTTTTACTTGGCCAAAAGAGGGTAACAACCCTATGTTCAGCTTTTCATTCATCACATTTTAAAATTAATTTTTTGTTTTTTGAGTTAATACCAACTTGAATACATTATTATATTCAACCCTCTCTATTGATTTACAATATGTGAGTTCACAAAGCATATATTATAGATACAGATAACTATCAAGTCCCCTTGTTTCCTTTAAAATCGAATAAAACAAAATTAAACTGTGCATCTCATGCACCATTTGCACTCCAGTGTTCAGAATGTCTCTTGGCAGCACTGGTTGGTAGTTTTGCTCCCAAAATTTCATGTATTCAAAATAACAGATCACTTGAAACTCCATGCAGTGATTCTTCTATTTTAGAGATTTAGTCCATGATTGTTTAGCCACTCCATTGCTCTGGGCCCTGGGTGAGGCAGAACATCATGGTGGAGGGGCATGATGAAGGAAGGCTGCTTAGCTCATGGTATCTGGAAAGCAGAGGTACTAGGAATTGAATTCAGGGGCACTTAACCACTGAGCTACATCCCCAGCCCTTTTTCATGTTTTATTTGGAGATAGGGACTCGATAAGTTGCTGAGGCTGGCTTTGAACTTGCCATCATCCTGCTTTAGCCTCCTGAGCCACTACGATTACAGGTGTGTGCCACTGTGCCAGTAGAGCATATATTTTGATTTCTAATTTGTACTTATTTTTTTTGTGATATTTTCGAGTCTGGAAACTACTGTTCTACAACTGCCACTGCTGTTGCTCCTTTTAAGATTGTATTTTATTTCCTTTATTGGCTTATTGTAATTTTAGATTATTTTTAAGTGATTATTTTAGGGTTGTATAGCATGTAAATTTACTTGAAATAGTAGTATATCTTTTAAGTACATGAATCTTTTTTTCTCCCTGGTGCTGGGGAGTGAAATCAAGGACTGGGTGCATGTTAGGCAAATCTTGTAAAATTGAGCTATATCCTCAGCTCAGTATATGAATCTTATAATATTTTTCAATTTTTTAAAATCTCTCTTTGCCTTTGTGTTATTGTCATGTATTTCATTTCATTCATTATGAGCTGTGTGTTGATGATTTTAATTTTTTCCTTAAAAAGCTGATTATCTTTTAAAATATATAAACAAAAAAATAATTTTTTTCTGGGTACCAGGGATTGAACTCAGGGGCACTTAACCACTAAGCCACATCCCCAGCCCTATTCTTTATTTTATTTAGAGGCAGGGTCTCACTGAGTTGCTTAGCACTTTGCTTTTGCTGAGGCTGCTTTGAACTCGCCATCCTCCTGCCTCAGCCTTCCCAACTGCTGGGATTACAGGCATGCACCACTGTGCCCAGAAAGAAAAATAATCTCTTATTTTTATTTTAGCAGTACTGGGTATTGAACCCAAGGACTTTCTACCACTGAGCTACATCCCTAGCCACTTATTTTATTTTATATATATATTTATTTAGATACCAGGGATTGAACCCAGGGGCACTTAAGTACTGAGCCACATCCCCAGTTCTTTTTATTTTTTGAGATAAGATCTTGCCAAGTTGCTCAGGCCCTTGCCAAGTGGCTGAGGCTAGACTCAAACTTGTGATCCTCCTTCCTCAGCCTCCTGAGTTGCTAGGTTTATAGGCATATTTCACCATGCCTGGCTTTATTTATTATTTTGAGAAGAGTCTTCCTTAGTTGCCCAGACTGGCTTCAAACTTAAAATACTCCTTCCTTAGCCTCCAAGTAGATAGAATTACAATGCATATGTGCCAATATGCCCTTTGAAAAAGATGATTTTATATTTACTCACATGTTGTCCATTTCTGGGGCTCTTCTTTCTTTTGTATGGATCTAGTTTTCCATCTGGTGTTATTTTCTTTCTGCTTGAAGGGCTTCACCATTTCTTATACTGCAGGTTTGCAGGTAAGGAATTCTTTGAGCTTCTGAATGTCTGAAAAAATCATTGTTTTGCCTTTTTTTGGGGGGAAGATGTTTTTGCTGAATGTAAATATGCTTCACTGTCTCCTGGTGGACATTGTTTCAGATGAGAAGTCTGCCATTATTCCTGTCTTTGCTTCTCAATTTATAATATGTCTTTTCTTGTGCTGTTTTTTAAGATTTTTATCAGTTTTTTTTAAAGCATTCTTTTTTTTTTTAAACCTTTATTTATTTATTTTTATGTGGTGCTGAGGATCGAACCCAGTGCCTCATATGTGCTAGGCAAGCACTCTGCCACTGACCCTCAGGCCCTTCATCACAGTTTTTTAAAATTTATTTTTTAAAATATTTGAAACCAAGGGTAATATTTACTTAACTATGTCTCGAGCCCCTTTTTCAAAAATTTTAATTTTGAGATGGGATCTCACCAAGCTGCTAAATTGCTAAGGCTGGCTTTGAGCTTGTGATTTTCCTTCTTTAGCTTCCCTGAGCTGCTGGGATTACAGGTGTGCACGCACCATGGTGCCTGACTTTTTATCCCAATTTTTAAGTGAGCTTATTTGGATATTTGTAATGTGTATTGATTTTCTTTCTTTTTAAAAAAAAATTTGTGGTGCTGGGGATTTAACCCAGGGCTCAGTCCATGCTAAGCGCTTGCTCTACTAGCACTGAGCTCTATTCCCAGCCCCCCGCCCCCTTTTTTTAGGATTCATTGAGCTTCTTGGATCTGAGGGTTTACAGTTTTGATCAACTTTTGAAAAATTTCAGCCTTTATTTCTTCAAATATTTGGTTAGATTAATTTACAACTACTTTTGTCTATCTTGAATATACTCATGCTTTTCTCTATTGTGAGCTCTGTAGTGGTCTTGCTTCTTTTATCATCTTTGTCATTTTTAGGTTTCTTTCTATGGGTTGTGTTGTAAGGGAGCTTTTCAATCAACAAACCAAACACATTGGTGTCTTTCCACAATGTCAGAACTTATTAATAACAATAAATTTATAGGAAATATCGCTTTCATCATTGGTAGTTCACTGAATACTTGTGGGTCACCTGGTAGTCATAAGCTGGACAATCACAGGATCTTTTATTCCAGTCTTAATTTGTAATATCTATAACACTCAAGTCATACATATGTCACACTTTGCCCAATTATATATATGTTATAAAAAGCCTAAGAAAGAATTAAGGCAGCCACAGGGGTATAGAAGGCCAAACTGAGAGCAAATGCAGAAAACAAATACAAATGCATTCTCTGTAGGTAGTTAGGGGAGATTAAAAACCAGACTAAGAACTTGTTCAAGGCACAGAGCTGTCAAGGTGCAGGAACTTATTCTAGGCCAAAGTCTGGTCGGACTGCAGTTTCAGAGTGTCAGCTTTGAGTAGGGCTATGAACAGATATCACAGGCAGGAAAAACCTCACTCTGCCCAAGCCTGAGGACAGAGATTCACAAGTTTGTTGCTGTGGTGATTTTCCTAGCCAGGTCTCCTGCTGAGTGATCAGGAGACAGCATCAAGGTGCCATGGTGCCCATTCTCAGGGTGCTTTTCCTTTTATGGGCAAGTGAGAGGATTGCTTCATCTTTTGGTTTGGTGTGTTCGATAAGCACATGGGCCTGTTTTTTCCCATATGAGTTGCTATGCCCATGCATCCATGTGCTTCTGATTAATTTCATAAGTCCAATGGTGGCCATATTTAGTACCATGATTAGTTTGTGTCTTATTGTTATGCCAGGCAGAGATGGTTGTTTACTTATACAAACAAGGTATAGAGTCATTCTACTTCAGCACTTAAACTCAAGATGGAGTTGCTTATGACAAGCTACTGCTTTTACAAAATGGAGTAAAACAGCCTGAAAAGTGCTGTTCAATACACCATGGAATAACTCTGAGCAGAACACTGCCTGCTCTTCACAGGTTGATTTTTCTCTTTAGTATGACATTATTTTTCTTCTTTGCCTGACTAGCAATCTCTTACAGGTTGCTGGGCATTGTGAATTTTGCCTTGTATGGTATTGGATATTTTTCCTTTTCTTCAAACATTGTTGAATTTTGTTCTAAGATAGTTACTTAGAAACAATTTGATCCTTTTAAGGCTTTCTTTAATCCTCATTAAGTGGGCTTAGACCAGCCTTTAGTTTAGGCCTAATTTCTTCCTCTTGAGTATTCTATCAGATGTTCCATGTATTTTGAGGTTTTCCTACTGTGGGTCAGGAGAGCACAAACTTCCCCAGCTTTGTATGAACTCCGCCATTGAGGGCCTCCTGTGAGGTTACATTCACCTGAAGACAGAAAGGCAATCTCTTTAGTGTCTTTCTGTTCAGTTCTCTCTCCATGTAACATTATCCTTTCTAGTACTCTGCCTTGCAAATTCCAGTTATCTTTCCAGCTCAGGAGACTACTGGCCTCTGCTCAAGGGCTGTCTTCCATGCAGCGTTCTATAAGTTCTCAACGCAGGAAACAGTAAACTAGAGTAATCATATTAATCATACGTTTCAGCTCCTCTGTATGTGTATGCATTTTTATTCAGGTTAATGAAAAGATTTTAACTTAGGTAAAATTAAACATAGCCACTGGTAGTACATATTCAGTAAAAGAATGAAATAAATGAGAGTATTTTGTTAAGGAAGTTATTATAGGACTTATAGTAATTGCTTAGGCATTGCTGTTTCTTATTGGAGGCACTGTAATATTCATATAGTTGACTAGTTTTATGACTAGTTTTTCTGTTTTTATTTTGGTGCTCGGGATTGAACCCAGGGCCTCTAGCAGGCTAGACAAGTGCTCTATCACCAGGTACCACCCTTCAGCCTGCTGACTAGTTTTATTGTTCACAAGTACTATGACAGAAAGTTAGGATTGCTTACAGAAAATATATTCTGAGCCAGGCCTGGTGACACAAGCCTGTAATTGCAGAGACTCCAGGGGGCTAAGGCAGGGGGATCCCAAGTTCAAAGCTAGCAATAGCAACTTAGGCAGGATCTCAATATAATAAAGAGAACTGGAGATACAGCTCAGTGGTAAAGTGCCTCTGGGGGTTAAATCTCCAGTACTAAAAAACCAAAACCCCTACATTCTGAAGTGTTGAGGATTGCCTCATTTTCTTTATTGTGATCATTTGAACATGGTGGATTTTGATCTAGGATAGATCCACATAGGTGGATTTTGAATGGAAACTCATTCAACTAGCTGGGTGTGGTAAGGCACACCTCTAATCCCAGTGATTCATGAGATTGAGGCATGAGGATTCCCAAATTTGAGACCATCCTTGGCAAATTAGAGACTTTTGTCTTGAAATAAAAAATAAAAAAGGCTGGCGATGTAGCTTGGTGATAAAGTACCAAACTGGGTTTAATCCCTAGTACTGCCCCCCAAATCCCTCATTCACTGTGATAATTTTAGTTTTCTGAAATAGCAAGTTGTATAATGTTTTCTGCAATGGAAAGGTAAATTTTACAAGGGCTTAATTAGAATTTCAGAAATGATGATGTGCTACAGTTATTATCTGTTGAAATTTACTGATGAACAATACACTTCCCCATCCATGACTAAATAAATAGGTACTTTATATATTAAATAGACTTTATAGAAAATTATTTTTAATAAGTTCCAAAATTATATTGAAAATCATAGGAGAAATTGATAGTTATGAGAAATGTCTTTGGAACCAGTGCCATGGTGTGTACCTGTAATCCCAGCAACTCAAGAAGCTGAGGTAGGAGGTTCATGGGTTCAGAGTCAGCCCTAGCAATTTAGGGAGGCCCTAAGCAACTTAGCAAGACCCTGTCTCAAAACATAAAAAGGGAGCTGGGGTTGTGGCTCAGTGGTAGAGCGCTTGGCTGCCACATACGAGGCCCTGGGTTCTATCCTCAGTACCACATTAAAAAAAAAGGTATTTACAACTAAAAAAAAAAAAGAAGAAAAAAAAAAAAAAAAAAAATAAAAAGGGCTAGGGATGTGGCTCAGTGGCTAAGCACCTCCCCGGGGTTCAATCCCCTGTACCAAAAAAGATAAGAAATATCTTTGGAAACCGTGGTGTATATGTTGTAGATACAGTGATTCAAATTAAAAAAATATATATATACATACAGATATATAGTGAAGGCACAGATGCTAACTGTACCTTTTAATGTAGTTCAGTGGTAGAATGCCCCTGGGTTCAATTCCCAGTATAAAAAAATAAAAATAAAAAACTAGATTTCCAAAGAAAGAAAATTTTTTTTTTTTTTAAAGAGAGAGTGAGAGAGATAGAGGTAGAGAGAGAGAGAATTTTTTAATATTTATTTTTTAGTATTTGGCGGACACAACATCTTTGTTTGTATGTGGTGCTGAGGATCGAACCCGGGCCGCACGCATGCCAGGCGAGCGCGCTACCGCTTGAGCCACATCCCAGCCCCAAAGAAAAGTTTTTAATAAGTTACTTTTTAATGTTTTTTATATCAGCAAAATCAATGTGAAAACTCCAATTTGAGTTGTTAAGTAGGAACTATGAGTTTCTCAAATTTCATTCACTTAAATGTCATATTAATGATCTTTACTATAAATAATTTTTCTCATTTTTGGGGTGTTAAGTACTTATTGTTTTTCTTCAGTTTCTTCTCTTAAAAAATCGGTGTGTGTGTATGTGTTTTAAAGAAACAAATGGAAAAGCTGATTGTGATAGAGGGGAGCCATGAAAATGAAAACAATGAATACAAAACAATGGTAATGAATTTTAAGTAGATTCCGTTAACAGTGTAAGCCTGTGAGCCTGCAGTTTGTTTTCTCTGTCAAAAAGGGAGTTTAGCAAGTTCTGCAGAAGTGCTAAAGACATATTAGCACTATACTGAGACTTTGTCTTTGATATAATCTGTGATGAAAGAATTAAAACAGGACTGGCTTTCTTGCTATGATTCAGTGTTGCTTCATGTCTAATGTTATGGAATAGGGTAAGAAGGAATTCTCATGGAACGCAAAAAAAGGGCACCTAAAAAAGGCAAAAGGAAAAGGGAGAAAGTAGAACCTGGAGATTATGAGATAATAAGTTATCTTCAGAGGGAAAGAGCTGTATGAGATTTAGAGTAGGGTTTGAATCTCTGTTATGAGGTTTGCAGTCTAGTATCAGCTTTCTAGTGATAGTTTTGCCTTTTCTATTTGTGTCATATTTCCATTAGTTTTTGTTTCATGTTCAAAATAATGTCATTATTTGGCATATTCATGCATTGATTTTTGAATTCACTAGAGGATAGTAGAAAATGAGAAGATGAATGCAGAAAAGTCATCAAAACAGAAGGTGGATTTACAGTCTTTGCCAACTCGTGCCTACCTGGATCAGACGGTTGTACCTATCTTATTACAGGGACTTGCTGTGCTTGCAAAGGAAAGGTAAGAATATAGCATTTGCAATTGGAAAGAAAGAGAGAGACACTTCCCTAATTGAAATCTTATTAGTCATGTATAATGGTTTTTTATTATAATATTTTATAATTTATGGCTATTAAACTTTTTTTTAAAGAAGTCGGTCATAAAAAATTAAAGAAAGTAATACACATAAAGAAGTCAGCCGGGCTGGGGATGTGGCTCAAGCGGTAGCGTGCTCGCCTGGCATGCGTGCGGCCCGGGTTCGATCCTCTGCACCACATACAAACAAAGATGTTATGTCCGCCAAGAACTAAAAAATAAATATTTAAAAAAAAAAAAAAAAAGAAGTCAGCCATAAATTCATAATGCAGGCATTTTCTTTCTTTCATTTTTTTGAGAAAGAGAAAAAAAAAAAAGTTTTATTGTTTTGCTAGCAAATAAGAAACACAGGGGACTCCTGTCCCAGAGGCTGTGATTTTCCCCATCATTAGTCTTAGATTATTTGAATATTTGTAAAGGTTTGTAATCATGGTGTGTGTGTAATTTTGTATGTTCTTTTATTTGACATAATTGTTTCCCATCTCCATAGTCTTCATTATTACAGTTATTTATTTATTTATTTTTGGTACTGGGGATTAAACCTGGGGTGCTCTACCATAGAGCTATAATTTCCCCACCCCCTTTTAAAAAAACTTGAGATGGGGTCTAAGTTGCCCAGATTGGCCCTGAAGTTGTGTTCCTCCTGTCTTAGCCTCCTGAATGGAATCCCTGGGATTATAGGCTTGGGAGTTTCATGATTATAATTTAAATTATAATAATATCATAATTAATTTAGCCATTTTCCCCACTGTTGAACATTGAGATCCAATTTTCCTTTGGTATTATAGGTTTCCAAAAAGTTATATCTGTTTTCATGCCTCTTTTGCCTCTGTTTAGTTGTTTTATTATGATGAATTCTGAAGAGTTGGTTTACTTGTTCAAAGGACATGACTTTTTATAGTGCTCAAAATATAATATCATATTTGTCCAAAAATTTGTTCTTAAAAATTTTTATTATAAAATTTTGCTAATTTGTCTTAGCTTACATTTCTTTATTAATATGATTACAGTTATTTCTCATTCCCCAGGAATTCTCATCTAAAATATTTTTGTGTGAACAAATACAATAAAAAAATTTATTTTGTAAATTAGATTAGTCAACATTGATTAGATACATATTATGTTTTATTCAAAGAATAGTGATAACCATTGTAGCCATAATTTGATAAAGAACTTGATGGAAGTATGTCTCATAGATTATTGACTAAGAATAATTATATTAATTTATATAAAAATTATGTGGAGCCCGATGGTAGAACACTTGCTTAGCATACACGAAGACCTGGTTCAGTTCCCAGCATCTAATAAATAAATAAACAAACGATAAATGCTTGCTTTTGATTATTAGTATATTTATAAATAAGATTTATTTATAACAGTGACATATCCTGATTCTGCTACCAATAATTAATATGTGGGCAGCAACTCTGCTGGCACATGCCTGTAATTCTAGCTACTCAGGAGGCTGAGAGTTTAAGGCCAACCTGGGCAATTTTGCAAGTTCTTGTCTCACAATTCAAAAAAGGGCTGGGCATGTACTCCAGTGATAGAGTATGTGCTTAAAATACAAAAGCATCCTTTATACTTATTTTTTGGTTCTTTTTAAAGAAAGTTAAGATGTTAGAAATTCTAAATATTACGTTAAGTGCTAGGAGAAAAAATATGAAAAGTTTTAAAAGTAATACAGGGTTTTTTTAAAAAAGTGTTTTGTAGTTATAAATGGACAGAAAGCCTTTATTTTATTTATTTTTATATGGTGCTGAGGATCGAACCCAATGTCTCACACATGCTAGGCAATCGCTCTGCCACTGAGCTACAGCCCCAGCCCAATATAGTGTTTTTAAGTAAAGAGTTCTGGCAAAACAAACTAATCATAAACATATGAAAATTTTTGTCTGTATGTAGGCAGCAGAAAAGGCTAAAGTGTAAAGGGATTTTTTTTTGGAAATATTTTTAGTTGTAGATGGACATAATACCTTTATTGTATTCATTAATTTTTTATGTGGTGCTGAAGATTGAACCTAGTGACTCACATAGGGCAGGCAAGTGCTCTATCACTGAGATACACCCTCAGCTTGAATTATTATTATTATTATTTTGGTACAGGGGTTTGAACCCAAGGGTGCTTAACCATTGAGTCACATCTCCCAATCTTTTTAAAAATTTATTATTTAGGTACTGGGGATTAAACTTAGGGGCACTCAACCACTAAGCCACATCCCGAGCCCTATTTTATTTTATTTAGAGACAGGGTCTCACTGAGCTGCTTAGTGTCTTGCCATTGCTGAGGCTTCATCCTCCTGCCTCAGCCTCCTTAGCTGCTGAGATTACAGTCATGCGCCTCTGAGCCTGGCCAGTTCTTTTTTATTTTTTATTTAGAGACAGGAGTCCCACTAAATTGCTTTGGGCCTTGCTAAGTTGCTGAGGCTGGCCTCCAACTTGTGCCTCAGCCTCTTTTTTTTTTTTTATGTTGTTTCTTTGTTTTTTTTTAGAGAGAGAGAGAATTTTAATATTTATTTTTTAGTTTTCGGCAGACACAACATCTTTGTTTGTATGTGGTGCTGAGGATCGAACCCGGGCCGCACGCATGCCAGGCGAGCGCGCTACTGCTTGAGCCACATCCCCAGCCCCTTGCCTCAGCCTCTTGAGTTGATGGAAATATTGGCATATTGCCTGGTTGAGGGAAATGTTTAGAGATCATTGTAAATCAGTTTTCAGTGTAACTTTTCATAGTACAGTTTAAAACATATTCCTCAAATTTTCATCTTTGGACTTGTTTTCTCAGCAATAGTAACTTATATAAAAGTGATAAGTATAAAATAATACCTCTTAATTTGTTTATACCTTTATACCTGTATTTATTTATTTAATTTTTTGTGGTGCTGAAAATCTAACCCAGGGCCTTGCACATGTTGGGTGAGTGCTCTACTACTGAGCCACAACCCCAGCCCCAAATAGCTCTTAATTTTTTTTTTTAAACTCTTTTTTAAAAATTTATTTAGTGGTAGATGAACACACAGTATCTTTATTTATTTTTATGTAGTGCTGGGGATTGAACCAGTGCTTCACACATGCAAGGCAAGCACTTTACCACTGCGATTCAGCCTCAGCCCCCAAATACCTTTTAATTTTAAAAATATATTCGACTTCTCAGATGTAATGTTTGTTTGGTTGCAGTATTAAAATTATTAATTCAAATTGTTTGAAGAAAGATGTGTTTTTTTGGTAGTAGGGTTTTGAACTCAGGGATGTTCTACATCCACATCCCCTTCCATTTTTAAATTTTGAGATAGGATCTTGCTTAGTTGCCAAGTTTGTCCACAAACTTGTGATTCTCCTGGCTCCCATATAGCTGGGATTAAGAATGTGAGCCACAGTGTCAGTGGAAATGTTTTCTTTTCTTTTAAAGAAACATTACAGAATTTACTTGTCCAGAAGTGTTGATTCCTTTGATCAGTCACTTAAGGAGTAGTCCAGATGTTTTAGTAAGGCTACAGCTATTGTCCTAAGTTGTTTTCTTTTGTTGAAGGATAATACTTACTCAGAAAGTTGCGTATATCATAGGTACAGCTTGATGAATTTTCACAAACTAAACATACCTATGTAATGGGCACTCAGATGAAAAAGCTGAGTGTTGGCCAGTAGTCCATTCATCTCCCTTGCGATGCCTGCAAATCATTCTAATTGGGATAATTGTAATTCCATTGTTAGTACATTTTCAAAACTGTGTTTTCAAATTGAGTTCATAACAAGTTTTAAGTCATAACAATTTTTCATTCTTTTAAAATTATACCATTGGCTAGTTTACTTACTACAAATGGGCTTTGTAAAATGAAACTTAAGATGATTTTTTTTTTCTTTTAAGGAACAAAATGTTTAAATTAACACATCTAGAAAATATATTTCTAAACTTTGGATTTCTTTTCCCTTACAGACCACCAAATCCCATTGAATTTCTAGCATCCTATCTTTTAAAAAACAAGGCACAATTTGAAGATCGAAACTGACTTATTGGGAAGAACAGAAAAATATGGTTGCTACTGTAGATTTTACATGATTAAGAGGCAGCTTTAATTGCCATGATTTTTCCCTTTTTTTGGAAGTATAAGAATCTTCAGGACAACAGAATTTATTTCGGAGTTATGGAAGAGAACATATTTCCCTTATTTTGATTTAATCACCATACTTATTTAATGAGTGTCTTCTGTGCAGTCTTTTCTCAGATTGTCTTTAACTTTGTTTGAAAAATGACCTTCAAAATAAACTGTCATAATGCCATTATTTTACAGTAGTTTTTGTTTTTATGACAAACATTTTATTTATATACTTGGTTTTCATGAATTATTTTCTGTGTCTTCAGATGTTACAGAGTGTTACAAAAGAGTGAAAATACAGCAGAATGAAGTATAATATAAAAAATGCAGCCAGTTTTTCTCAATATTGCTAGGGACCCTTCTGAGGGTGGGATGTGGGTCTCTTCAACAGCTAACAAACATCACAGATGATTCTAATGTACAATAATGTTGGAGTATTGATAAAAAGCATTATTTCAGTGCTTTAGAGATGATATAGCTATCCTTTATTGCAGTCTTACTATGTGTAAGGCATAGTACTATTTTACTTAAATTATTTCTAAAATAGCAACTCTGCAAAGTAGATATTATTATTCCCATTTTGCAGATGAGGAAACAGACTTGGAGAGGTTAAATGACTTGCTCAAGAGATCATTACTGGTAAGTGCTTGAATGGGAATTCAACCCAGTTCTACCAGTGTGTTGCTGATAGCTAAGTGAGAAGTACTTGTGCTACTTCATATCATTCTGTCTGTGCAAAAAAAAAAAAAAGCCAGTGGTGCCCCCCCCCCATTCCTGTGAAGAAATTGAGATAGTTCAGTAGCTGAGATAATTGTCTGAAGAGAGCCAAGAAAAATATTCACTAGAGCAGTATTCTCAAATGGGAATCCTCCCAGGACATTTGGTGATATCACCTTTTAATTGTCATATCTGGAGTGAGATGGGATTCATTTTGCAAGTAGTGGCCAGGATTACTACTTAACATCCTAAAAGACACAGGACAATCCATGTGCCATCCCCATTCTACCTCTCAAAATATTTTGTTCAAAGTGTCAGTACAACCAAAGTAGGTAAACCCTGCATTGGAAGCATTCTGAAGTCTTGTGTCTCCAAGCTGAAATGTTAAGGTCCACATACATTTATATATATACATATACATATATACATACACACATATATATATATATACACACACACACACACACATACACATATACATATATACATATATATATATTTATAAACCTGTAAATATAGGTTTATAGGTTATTTATGTATTTATATGATATATAAATATATGTGCCTTGAGAGCATGATTCAGTTGTGATAGAATTTGTACTTGTTGAAAACTTTTTTTTTTAATACCTTTATTTTACTTATTTATTTTTATGTGGTGCTGAGGATTGAACCCAGTGTCTAACACATGCTAGGCAAGCACTCTACCACTGAGCCAGAACCACAGCCCCATTGATGAAAACTCTTTAAGGCGGTCTGATACATACCTCTGGTTAGGGACCACTCAGAAGGTATTATTTTAGTTTTGGAACTACAGGTTATATACTACTATTCCTACTGTTTCAATACTTCTAGTGTTCTATTGAATTATCTTGAAGATAGGGCTTAAGTTACTCAGTCTTGAATTTGTCATTCTCTTCAGTTAGGGCGACAATAGGCATGTATTTTGCTAGCAGCTCACATGCTCCTTAGTACCTATTATATGCTAGGGACCATGTAAAATTCTTCTACATGAATTGTCATTTAATCCTCAAACCGGGCTGGGGATATAGCTCAGTGGTAGGGTGCTTGTCTAGCAGGCATGGTGCCTTGGGTTCAATCCCCAGTACCAGAAAGGGGAGAAAAAAAAAATCTTCAACCTATGAGGTAGATATAATATTTTAGAAAAAAATTGTACCCATTTTGTTAAAATATTTTATTGTGGCATTATTGATTTGTAAAAAGCTTTACATATTTATTGGATACAGTTTGATGTGTTTCAGAATACATATACACTAATGAAACTATATCAAGGCTTTAAACATTTATCACCTCCAGAAGTTTGAAGTAGGTTTAATTCGGGTGTGGGGGTTTACTAAGGAATGAATCCAGAGGTGCTGTACTACTGGGCTACATCCTTAACCCTTTTTTAAATTTTATTTTGAGACACGGTCTTGCTAAATTGTCTAGTCTGGCCTCAAACTTGTGATTCTTCTGCCTCTGCCTTCCAAGCAGATAGGACTATAGGAGTGTGCCACTGGCCTGGATTGAAGCAGGTTTATTTGTTTTTGTGCTGCTGGGGATTGACCCCAGGTCCTTATGTGTGCTAAGCACAGGTTCTACAACTGAGGTATACCCTAGCCCAGAGGTAGGTTTAACATTTTTCATGAGGTGCTGAGGATTGAACCTAGAGGTGCTCTACCAGTGAGCTATATCTCCAGCCCTCCTTATTTTTTTGGTGAGAAAGAATTAGCTAAGTTGCCCAGACTGGCTTCAAACTTGTGATCTACCTGCCTCAGCGTCTTGAGTTACTGGAATTATGGGTGTGCACCATCACACCCAGAGATTTTAATACTTCATTTTTAGATGAGGAAGCAGGTTTGTTTAACTTGCACTAAATTTAGAAGAATTTTACATGATCCCTAGCATATAATAGGTACTAAGGAGCATGTGAGCTGCTAGCAAAATACAGAGGAAGTAAATTTGGGATAGGGATTTAAACTCAGTTTAATACTATATTATCTCCCAGGTATTCCCAAATTTTTTCTTAGGGGGAAAGTCAGTCAGCCCTATGTGTGTACAATAGAAGCCCTCTTACATGGCTGGTAGATGAAAATGTGAGTCAGAGTAGGGAATCATAAGTGACACAGATTGTGCACATTTTTTTTGAAAGTTAAAAATGCTAGTCTATTAACTTGATCATACTCTGATTTCTATAATTTCTTTGGGTTAAGTTCTTTGGAATTCTGTATTATCTCACTTTACTCATATTGGGGATAGAACCCAAGAATGCTTTATCAGTGAACTACATTCCCAGCCTTTTTAAAAAAAGTTTAAGACAGTGTTTTACTGAGTTGATGACGCAGGCCTTGAATTTGTGATCTTCCTGCCTTTAAAAAAGCTTGTATCTTTTGTTGCGGTCATTTAATTTCTGGGAATTCCAAATAGCAACAACAACTTTGAAAAAAGTTTTACATATAAAATTTTCATTCTAAAACATTGAAAATGAACAAATTTACATCTTATGTGAGATATCATTAAATAAAGTACTAGGGGTCTGGGCTTGTGGCTTGGTGGCAGAGCGCTTGCTTACCGTGTGTGAGGCACTCGGTTTGATTCTCAGCATTACATATCATCAATAAGTAGATGAAGTACTTAGCCTAGTATAAGATATATAGTGTTTAATAAATGTCAATAAATTTGGTTTGTATAGTCAAAAGTGGCAAAGTTGACTGATAGGTTAGTGTATCAGTTTTAATTGAAATCACAATAGTCTATGCTAAACTCTTAACCCAGATTAGTTTGGAATATTGTGGTAATGTTCTAGAATATTTTTCTCACCTACAGGGCATTCAGAGGTATGGGACTTCTAAAGCAATGAATAAATAAAGTCTAAAATCAATTATTGTCATGTACATATAAAAATCAAGCCTAAAAATTCAATAAATAAGGTATTTTTTAGTATAAGTAGTATGTGTATATGGCATAAAGTTGTTCAAAAGATACACAAATATATACATTGAAAAGGTTAAATCCTTCGTTCCATCCTTGCGGCATAGCTACAATTACTGTTACCAGTTTGTTGCTTTCTTCTAGAAGTATTCCACGTATATCAAGTGTAGGAACATGTATTCATTTTTACACAAATGGTAGGATACTTTACATACTATTTTGCAATTCATTTTTTCACTGTTTTGGAGTTCTTCCCATACCAGTATATTCCTCCACCACATTCTTTTCATGTGTGTCTCCTTGAACAAGCCTGATTGATGGACATTGTGGTTAATTCCAGTTGTTTGCTTATAGAAACTGCTGCAGTGAATGTTGGATATGCTGTTCCAGAAGTGCATTAATGTTGGGTTCTGTGACTGCTAGTTATTTCTTGAAGCCTGTGCCTCATAAGGACTATTAATGAAGATTCCTCCTTTGCTCTTACTATGAAGTGTTTATGGAATGTCAAACTCAAATTACAGGTGGATGTAATGGAAATTGTTAATAACATGAGAATTGTACACTATTGCCAAATAAGATTCTCTTGGAATACAAAGTATTTTCCATTATATGAACCAATTTAGGGGAGATGGATACGTGAATCGTTTCAATTTATTTCTTTCAAGAGTCTGCTTGAATAATGTAGCCAGAATAAGGTAGATGGGGAATAATGATGTAGTTGAGAGCATTCGAGAGGTAATAGATGATCCTCTAACCTTTCATTTTATTTGGCATTATGGTCTTTGTTCAGCATTTGATCAGTAAGAAAAATCATTTGAAGAAAGAAGTGTTCAGGGGCCGTGGCTGTAGCTCAGCGGTAGAGCGCTTGCCTTGCATGTGCGAGACCCTGGGTTCGATTCTCAGCATACATAAAAATAAGTGAAATAAAGGTATATATATATAAAAGTGTTCAGTTGAGCATTTTAATAGTGAGGAAGCTTAATTTTAAATTAGATTAGTAGTTTGGAACTAAGATTGTTGTGCCTAGGCAGAGAGGGATGATGATAGGAACAAAACTGTTTACACATACCCTAATATAAGATTCTCATAGCAAGCTGTGAGATTTCAACTGCTGTTTGCATTTGACAGAAGAGAGAACCAAGGCTTGAAAAGCAGGTTGAATTACTAGATGCCTATGATCACATGATGATGAATGACAGAGCCAGGATACAAATCTCCTGTTCTAATTCAAAGGGCTTGAAATATGAAACTTTCTTTGTTCATTGTATCCAGCCTCTCCAATTTTACCATAGAAACAATATCAGTAATAAACCACCACAAGAGCTATCACAATAGCACTTAAAAAAGTTTCCTTATTCTTGAAATTTACAATGAAAAGTTGACCTTTTCATCAGGTGTCACTGAGTTTTGGTTCTCTGGAAAGAGCACCATGGAATTAGAGTTCATCTCCTTTTTTGATTGTCCCTAAGCTGGCTTTAGCTATTCAGTATGTCATTTAAAAGAAAAATTATTTGTTTTAATTCAGTATGTCATTTTTATCTT